TTATGTTGCAGAATTACCAGAAGAATTATGGACCAGAAGCACACAAATATAACTGATTTAAACTTTGATCTATTGAAGCAAATCAGAAGTTCGGTACCAAATTCTTCAAATGGAGCAGTCAATTTTGCAATGACGATATCAGTGTAAGACTTTAGGATGAATGTATTTGTAAATTTATATTTGGTTAGCATGCAAAAGTTTCTGTTATAATTTCTAAATTTATATTTGAGATCCAAAGCCTAAAGCTATTCAGAGTTTAAATTATTTGGATCCAAAATTTTGATTGAACTTTATGTCCATCCAAAAAACCTATGTATTAGAATTTTGCAGTCACAGAACATGAAAAACCTAAGGTCAATTATCATGTGACATGTTTATTTTAAGGTGTTTGCTTAAGTCAAAAGTGATGAATGAATTAAGCTATTCAATGGGAATTTGACTGTTGTTACGAAAATTGGTTTTCTGTAATTTTTGAGGTTTTTAGATGGACATGTATTTATCTGAGTTTTTTGGATTGAAGAGTTTTTATGTGTTTTAATTTTAATTTATTGTTATTATTTTTATTTTTGATAAGGATGAGTGTTTTAAATGCCTCCTGCCCCAAATGATAATTGGTAAAAAAAAGGTTTTAACTACAGTTTAAATTCTTGTTCACATTTTCTGTTTTATTTACTGGACTTCATCTCATGCATTAATGGATCATGTCCAGGAGGAGATTTTGGAGATGATTTGTCACTACCCTCCCAAATCGTGTAGATATTGTCCGCTTTGCATACTCTCCTCTCAGTGCTCACAGTTTTTTTCGAAATGCGTCAGTTAAGGGGTGCGTCTCAACAACATCTATCCCAAATACGATGTGGGACGTCACATGTCCCGCGATATTAAGATTCACGCGGATAAACTGAAGCAGGACAGAAATTTGAACTGTCCAAATTTTTGTCCTGCATCATCAAATTTGCAAGGAGATCAGGAAGAAGCTGAAGAGAATCCAGCATGCCACAATTCCTCAGAAATGACAGTCTTGGTGGAATTAGGAGTTGCATTACTGGCTATCGTCAAAGTGTTTCCAATTGAAGTTTGTTTCAATCCTACTTATGTCAAGTTTCATATCAAATTATCACTCTCAACTTATGAAGTTGTTACTTTGTTGAAACTATCCTTTCTATTTTGCAATCAATATTTTTTTTCAATCAATATTGGTTTGCAATCTTATCTAGATTTTATTTTTTCAATGATGAACTTGTATCATTGCGGTATCCAATCAACACAAAAAGTAACAAGAAGCTTTTTATGAATTTGACATTTGGTAAGATATGTCTGATATTGGAACTCTCAGAGTGAATACTCTCAAGTATGCTAGACCGGCCAATTCAGCTTTTTGAAGAATCATTCCCTAATTATACATTATACAAAATTAACCTGACTCCATATCCTTTTGGGTGATGCAAAAAAAAAAAAAAAAAAAAAAAAAAAAAAAAAAAAAAAAAGGAAGAAGAAGAAGAAGAAGAAGAAAGAAAAAAGAAAAGAAAGACAATGAATGAATAAATGGTCCTCCTCCTCTTCTTCTTCTTCTTCTTCTTTATTATTTTTATTATTATTTTTTGGAATTAAAACATGAGCGATATTAAGAGAAATATGTTTTGACATTTATGATTATGGCATGCAATATGTGTTCTAGAAGATTAAGACTAATAAAAAAGGCTACAAAGTTAGTTTGAATTTTGTCTAGTACATGGTTTCAAAGTGAAAACCATGATCGATATTAAGAGAAATACTTTTAATATAATAAATACTCTATGTGTTGGCAAAAGATGAGATGCGTGAGCAATATGTGTTGGCATATTGAACACATCCCCTATAAGACTAAGATAGACAAGAAAAATATAATGTTAGCGTGTGCTCCTCGTTTACGGTTCACATGCATTACGTACAAAGAGTACAAAGAGAGAGTATGACAAGGGTTATCATTTTAATTTAAATAAGTTTTTGTATGATATGTGACATGTGAGAGACGACGTGCAGCGACAATGTACAATTGCTCGAAATTTAAATTTAATTAACTTTTATACAACAAGCGCAACGTAAGTGACATGGAATGGCATTGTCAAATATGTGTGTCCTACAAGATTAAGGCAAATAAAAAATACTACTAAGTTAAGTCTAGATTTTGTCTAGTATATAGTTTCAAGGTAGAAACCAAGGGCAACGTTAAGAGCAATATTTTGAAACAACATATAGTTTGTTTTAAATTGATTTCATGGCAAGATGAGATACGTGAGCAATATGTGTTGGCGTATTGAACACACCCCACTACGACTAAAATAATTGAAAAAAACATATAAAATTAGCTTAGATTTCCCATTTATGGTTCTCACAATGGCATTATCAAATACTTGTTCAACAATATTAAAACTAATAAAAAATGCCATAAAGTTAGTGTGGATTTGTTGGGTATATGGTTTTGAAGGGGTGAAGTGCATAAAACCTTCTTGTAGTTTCAAAATGTTGCAAATAACACCTTTCATGTTCAAATCCATCCCCCGTAGTATATAAAGTGTGCATAGAAGGGCTTCTTACATAAAAAGTGACATGTGCGGATCCTATGACCTCAAAACCCTCTTTAATATCAAATTTACCCTTTCTCTATTTTAAACCAATTTTTTTTTGTCACAAAATGAGACACTTGACCAATATGCTCTGGCATATTGAAAATATCCTCTCCTAGACTAAATTACTCAAGAACAATATAAAGTTAGCATGCATTTTTCTCATTTATAATCTTTGGGTGTCATAAAGAGATATATAATGACAACGGTTAAAATTTTAATTTTAAAATAGTTTTTGTATGACTCGTGCCACGTTGTATGACACGAGTGACATACAATGGCATTGTCATATACGTGTCCAATGAGATTAAGACTAATAAAAAAATGCTAAAAAAAACCTGAATTCTAGTTCGGTATATGGTTTTGAAAAAAAAACCATGGACAACATTAAAAGGAATACTTTAAAAATAATAAATACTCTATTTTAAATCGGTTCTGTCATTGTCAATAAGAGACTTAAGCAATATAAAGGGAACCCGTGAGCAATATGTGCTGGCATATTGAATATGTCCCCCCTAAAACTTAAATTAATCAATAAAAATATAAAGTTTATATTCCTCATTTATGATTTTCAGACAGAGCTTCCAAGAAGAGTTATATATATATATATATAATTTAAAATAGTTTGTATATGGTATGTGACACGTGAGCGACTTGCAACAACATTATACAATGGATCAAAATTTAAACGTAAACAACTTTTAAACAATAAGCGCCACGTGAATGACATGCAATGGCGAGTTGCAATGACATTGTACAATGGATCAAGATTTAAATTTAAACAACTTTTATACAATAAGCGCCACGTGAATGACATGTAATGGCATTGTCAAATATGCATTCAAAAAGATAAAGACTAATTAAAAATACTACAATATTAGTCTGGACTTTGTCAGTACATGGTTTCAAAGTAAAAACCATGGGCGGCATTATGAGAAATACTTAGAAACCAATAAATACTCTATTTTATAAGGTATGTGCGTTGTCTTTCTCATTTATGATTCACAAGTGTTATAAAGATAGATTATGAGAATCGTTCTTATTTTAATTTTAAATAAGTTTTTGTATGACATGCCACGTGGGTGACATGCAACGGCATTGTACATCTATAAAATCCACAGAAATGTCAATCATCTCCCCCCCAAGACTGAAGTAATTAAGAAAACTATAGAGTAGTATGGAAAGGGTCCAACCTCCAACAGCCAAAACCATGCTCCTTTAACATACCTAGCTTTTATCCTCCGCACACCTCTTCCGGCTCTCTATTTGGACATTTCCCTCCTTTCTCTCCACTCTTTTCTTTCCTCGCTTGCTTCCCCATCTCCTTTCCTTTCTTCCTATTCAACTCCTCTACTCTTAGTTTACATATTTCTTCCTTTTCCAACCGAGGAAGAAAATATTGAGTGGAAATTTTGGCGCAATGATAAGTTTGTTGCATTGTGACTTGAAGGTCACGAGTACGAAACGGGAAACAGCCTCTCCGCAATTAAGGTAAGACTATATACATTGACCCTCCCGAAATTTCTCAATGATGGGAGACCCAACTCTCAGAGTGATGGTTGTTTCTGCCCAACACAAATGTGTTGGTCTCAGAACACCATCTCTCTGCAAACCCAAAGACCAAGTTGTCAATTTTTCTGATTGTGTAGGTTGAATTCATGATGGCATTTTTCCACAGGGATTTGTATGAAGAATGCTTGCGGCTATTCGAGCATATTTTCTGCATTAAAGGACACTTTCAGTGTCAGAATTGGTGGGTGCAGAGGAGATAGAAGGTGAAGGGAGATCAAAGACTGGTCCGAGGTGACATAGGGTTTGAGAAAATGGGCAATTCTGAGAGTTGGGTCTACCTCCTCTGGGTGAAATCATGAGCTCTTCTCAGTTCTCTGTCATCCATGACGGTCTCCTCTGCTGCTTCTGTCATTGATGTGATCAGGAGATTCATGGAATCATATCTCTACCTTGTATAGGAAACTCCCCAAGTATGCCCGATCAATTCAGCTTTTTCAAGAATCATTCCCTAATTATACGAAATTGACTTGACTCCATATCCTATTGTGTAATGCAGGAAAAAAAAAAGTGTAATAATGAAAAATAAACATGCAATGAATGAATATATAGTTTTCTTCTTCTTCTTCTTCTTCTTCTTCTTTATATTATTATTATTATTTTATTAGATGAGACAAAGTACAATGCTTGCTTATCAAAGGAGGAAATTGAGATTCCTGATGTGGTTTTGAACCCACCAAATATTACACTCTATTAGAAGTTCAATATGAATAATGATATTCTTTAACATTTTAGAATCATGACCAAATATGAACACCACAAAGCTGGTGTGCCTCTATACAGAAATTCTACCACTAGCAAATGAGTAAGAACACTTGAATGAAATGAAAAATATAATTTCACCATTTCAAATGTCATGCAAGAATTCAACATGTACAGACCATCGGAACGAAGCTCACTTTCGCCATTATTTAATTATGCCTTCAAGCTTTCTTTCATCGGTGGCTTAACTGAGAATACGTAGATATGTAATAATATAAACGAATGACAAATTACATAAATTATTTCTCTCTGCATTTGTCAGCATAGTGCAGTTCCGATCACCAATAATCACAAGAAGAACATAAACCTTGCCTGAAACTACAAAAATTATTGCGATTTCTGATAACAATTTCCCTGTCATATATATGGTAGGCACGACCTTCGTAGCACAATGATAACCTTGGCAAATTCTTATATTCTTGAAAATGTATACTGGCACACCAGCTTTTGTGCTTATACGCCCAAAACAAACTGCCAGCTTCTCACTGCGAGAGAACAATGCCTGCTTCTCCTCCCGATCATGTGCATTATCCCCAACACTATCACAACCAGATAAAACTTGTGAGGTGTTATTTGGGACATAGCCAGCCAATCTCAACCTAAAGAGAACCGCCCTGTAAAGGATATAGACTTGCCTGAGGAGCAGACCGAAGCTGAGAATAAGATTGATTCCTCTGCATTTGAAGAGGAGAAAAAATCAGTTAATTTTCCTTTCAGGTAGTAACATTTTAGACAATAAAGCATGTTTTGTGCGAAAAGGATCCTCAGAGAGCTCCTGTTTTGTGCGAAAAGGATCCTTAGACAATAAGCATGTTTTGTGCAAACATGAGGCATGTGATTTTTTAGAATGGCAGTCTTGGTGGAATCAGGAGTTGCATTACTGGCCATCAATCCTACTTATGTGTAACAAAGTTTCATCTCAAATTATCACTCTCAACTTGTGATGATGTTACTTTACTAAAACAATCCTTGCTATTTTGCAATCGATATAGCTCTGCAATCTTATTTAGATTTTATTTTTTCATTGATTGACTCGTATCATTGCTGTCTCCAATCAGCAAAATAAGTATAGTTTTTTGCAACATAACAAAGAACTGTTGTGTTTTTTAAAGAAATCAACAAATTTATTAATTTGAAATTTGGTATTGGTATAAAAACTCTTAAGAGTCGATACACTCAAGTATGCTGGACCAATTCATCTTTTTCAAGAATCATTCCCTAATTATAAGGAATTAACTTGACTCCAACATGTACAGACCATCACAATCTCCATAGCACAATGTCAATCTTGGCAAATTATTCTATACTTGAAAAATGTATAGAGGCACACCAGCTTTTGTGCTATAAGCCCAGAACAAACTGACAGCTGATGAAAAAACGCCATCACAACACTACCTCATCCGTTCATTGCTAGACCACATAGCATAGCATTCCATTGCACAACATTCCTTCTAGTCATTGCTTTAAAAACTTGAAACGCAGCATTTATCCTACCATATTTTGCATACATGTCAAGCAATGTTGTACCCACCGTGATATCCATCTCATTCACCATCATCTTCAAAGCATAGACATGGACCCACCTGCCCATCACCAAATCCCCTGACTGCATGCAAGCCAATAAAACAAAGCGTAATGTGATTTATCCCTAACCCAAGCCCAATACCATTTCCCCAAGAAGCGAAAAAGCTTCCATAGTATAGCCACTCCGAACACAACCCACAATCATCATAGGCCAAGCAAGCTCATTTCCGTCTGGCATTTTCTCAAACAACCATCTTCCACTTTCCAATCCCTCCCCTTCATCACACCCTCCAAAAGCACAATCCATATAACACTACTTCGCTACCTCATTTCATCAAAACCTGCCTCATATCAGTCAAAAGACCACATTTTTTTTTTTTTTCCTAGTTGGTACTCACACAACACCACCCCCCCCCCCCCCCCCCCCCCCCAAGGAATTGCTTGCACCTAACAAGAATCGATTACATGCCTCTAACACCAAAATACAAACATCATACAAACTTGCGCTTGAACCCCAAACACATTATCACACAATTTCATGCGAGAGGAAAGGGTTACCTCATAGGTCCCTCTTACTTGAAGCCTTGAGTGTGCCTCATGTGTGTGTTTATTTGTATGACTGCATATAGCATGTTTCTTCTGTTATTGACATTGCATATAGCCTGGCTTAGAATATTTACAATAGCCTCTTTGCACATGAAGGTAAGGCTGCATATATCTGACCCTCTTTAGACCCCACAATGGGAAAAGCCTCGTGTATCTTTAGAATATTTACAATAGCCTCTTTGCACATGAAGGTAAGGCTGCATATATCTAACCCTCTTTAGACCCCACAATGGCAAAAGCCTCGTGTATCCTTTATTTATCTTAATAATGCTCATGTTGAGATAAAATGCTTCGCAGTTATTTTAAGTAGGTAATATCAACCATATATATCCCTTTTTTGTCGTTTAATTTGAGGAGGGGGCAGGTGGGGGTGTTGTGCATAAAGGACTTCAGCAAAAGCAGATTGACTTGACTCAGGTCTAACATTAACACAAATTCCTGAACCGTAAAGAGAACCACCCAGGAAAGGATATAGACTTGCCTGAGTAGCAGACCGAAGCTGGGAATAAGACTGATGCCTCTGGACTGTAAGGGTTGTGCTGCATTAGAAGGCCTAAAAAAAAAGTTACACCTGTTGAATAAATTCTCTCTTTGACAACACTTTTAAAAAAAAGAAAAAGAAAAAGAGAAAAAAAAAGGCCAAAAAAAGTTATCTCTAGTAAATAAACTGTAGGAAACTAGTTTTGAAAACTAGTGTTCCGTGTGAATGAAACTTGACTGCAACTTGGATGTCCATGTAAATCGTATTAGAACTGCAACGTGAATATAACGTTGGTTGTCTATGTATATCACGTTAGGCCATCAACGTGAATGTTACGATATTGATATCCTGGTGCATGCAGATTATTTAACGTATCCTTTCATGAGAAAAATGACCAGTTCTTACGTAATTGTGTCGAGACCTGGGAATGTCATCGACATATGTTACACCTACACAACATGTCGCCGTGTCTGGGAGATGATAATAACATAAATGATGCGTTGGAAGAACCAGGTGCAAATACTGGTTGTATGAGAAGGGTTGTGTCTATTTGAGTAAGGATGTGTTTGGGAGTGGTTATAAATCAACAGATACAATGTGTGAAACATTGCATCCCAATTGAAGTCATACCTAATCCGAAAAGACACTTCTATGCCTATAAATACCCACTTTGGCTGCCATTTCAATTAGTTCAGTTTTCCATTCTCTCTCTCCCTCTCCATATGAACCCAACCCAAGTGGGTGTGGGTTCAAGCCATATGGTCAAATGGTTCGAACCATTAGACCAAACATCTATAGCAATGAGCTATATTGCAATTGGTCTGAGCCAAATGGTTCGGATCGAACCCAATTCATTCTTATGTAGGAGAGAAACATTTTTGAGTCAGAGAGTATTGCACAGAGGACGTTCGAAGTATCCACGAGTTTGAGGTGCTACTAACTGTGGATGTAGACTATTGTATCATGAGAGACAAGCGCCATAGAGTCCATCGGCACCATGCGGGGCGAAAATTGTCTAGAACATAGTATCCAATACTAACCTCTGTCCAAGTTCTTTATTTATTATTATTCATTTTACTGCATTATTTTGCATGTTTAATTATATATTGAGTTGAATATTTAATTTAATTATTTCTTAGCATTTATTAATGTGTGTTATATCTTAAATATCACATGAAGTATATATTTTCCAACATAAACTAACTAAAAAAAAAATCCAAGAAAATAAGTTATCTGTGTTAGATAAATTATGTTTTTTGACAGGAAAAAAATAAATAAAAACTAAAGCAAGTAAATAAGGTAAAAGAAAGGGTAGTAGTGGTATTTTAAAATAATGATACATTAATGAGTTTATGGTCCTTCTTGTCATTTTTCTTAAGACAAAAAAGACAAATGGAGTCTATGTTACATGAACTCGGGTACAAGTGTCAGACTCGGGTATGTATCCATGCGTCGGACATGTCAAATCTCCTTATAGAAGGACACACGGACACGGCTAAATATTCATTTTATTAATTATTTTATTTTATGTTCTAGAGTAATGATACATTAATGAGTTTATGATCCTTCTTGTCATTTTTCTTAAGAAAAAAAAAAAAAAAAAAAAAAAAAAGGGACAAATGGAGTATATGTTACATGGACTCGGGTACAGGTGTCGGACACAGGTTGTATCCATGCGTCGGACGTGTCAAATCTCCTAATAGGACACACGGACACGGCTAAATATTCATTTTATTAATTATTTTATTTTATTTTTTAGAGTAAAGTAATGTTTTTATGTAATATAATGTTCAATATAGGCATTTAACTCATTTTAAAGTAATAATATAATATAATTGAATGATTGGATGTGCTTTTTAAGTACATGTCCAATCAAAAGTGTTGGACACATATCCCATACCCATGTCTAAGGGATATGTGCCCGACACGGGTACTTCATTACTTTTGAAGAGTCCATATAACAGGGAATGGAGTGCAAGTGTAGAAAAATGGAGTGCACTACTTTTGAAGAGTCCATGTAATAGAGAATGGAGTGCAAGTGTAGAAAAATGGAGTGCAAGTGTAGAAAAATGGAGTGCGAATACCGCCTCCCTTATTTTATTCTCCTTTGTTTGGTTGGTTTCCATTTATTGTATTTATACATATCAGACCAACCAAATAAAGGAGAGATGAAATAATTTTTAACTATTAAAAAATATTATTTTCTCTCTTTCATTTGGTAATATTAGCCATCAACATACCAAACAAAAGTATTTATACCAGTAACCACCCAAACAAAAATGTAAGAAAATAATTTTAAAATATTCATTCTATAAATGTAATATTCATTATCATCGTTTTAAATATGTAATTCCTTTGCTCATCATAAAGGTCACAATTTCCTTTCTAGCATGTCCCAAAATAAGTGTTTAACTTTGCTTTCTGAGATGTTTCACATTTCAACATTTCCAAATTACCCTTTTAAGTTTTGAAAGTCTTTTCCAATCAATAAAGTGAATGTTTAAATTTTATTTGGTTAGTTTTGTAGTTTCTATAGAAGATAATGAATTGAATACATGCTTTCTTAGAAAGTTGGAATCCTAAAGTGTGACATTTATTATGGGATGAAGGGAGTATCCCCGTCCTAGTTTCATAGTCCCTACTCGAAAAACACGCATTTAATGCATTGAACCCATTTGAAATTACCAAGTTTCCCTTTGAAGTTTAAATGTATCTATTATCAAGTTTTAGATTTTTTTAAAAACATAAAAGGGTGTTTATGTAAGATGCATTTACCTCACTTTGACTTTTCAAATGGGGCAAGTTTTTTGAAACAACCAAAAAAGGAACATTCAAACTGTGATAATGTAGTTGCAAATTTAAGACAATGCACTAAATGCATTTCTAAAAGGAAAGTGGATGTTCCTTTTTGGGATGTCCCAAAATAAATGTCCACTTTCATTCCTAAGATGTTTCAAATTTCAAGTTCCCTAAATTATCCATCAGTTTTGAAAATCTTTTCAAATCAATAAAGTAAATGTATGAATTTTATTCGATTAGTTTTGTAATTTCTAAAGGGAACAATGCACTAAATGCACGTTCCCTTAACGAATTAGAATCCCAAAGGGTGATATTTATTATGGAATGGAGGGAGTAATTAATACTCCCTCTATTCCAGGTTAATAGTCCCTTTTTAATATTACATTTCTCTATGAATTTCAGAGTCTCTCTCTTACCCCACTCCAAACCCTAAGCGCCCTTATATATGGGGCTACAAAAGACTAGTTAGGGTCCACAACCCATGAGCAAAAACTGGGTCAAAAATTTTCCTCGGCACCAAGCCCGTGAACCCCCAGAGCTTTGGTGGGCTTGGAACCTCACAAATCTCATCCAACGAGTTGCGAGCCGGCACCAAATTCGGGCCACAACATCACATAAACAAGTATTGATGATATGTAAGAAAATCCAAACATAATTAATACATTAAGAAATACAAAAGTAATAAAATGAGACCACTTTTATGGAGCCTCTTCTCCCATTGGGGGCTTTAGGCAGCCACCGTAACTGTCCTAAGGTTGAGCATCCCCTAATCAATTAACATTTATTACTTTTGAATTTTTTTTTTTAACCTACCAAACAAAGGAGGAAGAAAATAATTTTTAGACATTCATACTATAAATCTTATATTTATTATTATATTCATTTTAGATTTGTAATTATTATTATGATTATATTAACCATAATAGTCATATATACTTTCAAAAGTATTTACAACATTTACACTATGATGATGTGATAGCATAATAATAAGTAAAATTTTAATACAACCATGACGTAAATTTTGCAAATGCAAAAACCTAATGGTCCACCAATCTAAATTTAACTTAAATAACTTAAAAAAATTTGGCAGCCTCCATTTTTGAACAATAATATACATATATATATATATATATATAAAGACAGAGAGAAGGGGGGAACTTATATTCTAGATTTGTCCTAGTGGTCTTTGTGTCTTAACTCCCAAGTTCAAGTTCAAGTTCAAGGTTTCAAGACTCGTAGAGAGAGGGAAAAAACTTACACTACAACTTGCGGGAAGAGATGAGTAAGGTATGTGAACTTAACTTCATATCTGCCTTTTGAAATCTTCCCAAGATATTTTCCAAATATCTTTTAATTGTTTAAGATTGTATTAATTCTGTTACAAAAACTAGATTGAAAGAGATGAAAACTTTATTATACAGAAAAGGTATTTTCCTTAATTTCTTTTTCCTTTTAGAAATGATCAGTTTAGTTGTCATACTTTAGCCTAAATATCCTAATAGGAAGGATTAAAAAAAAAATCTTCCAAAAGATAAACTAAAATGTTGATATCCTTTACTATTGCAATGCATATAACCTAGATGTCATTGAAAAATGAACCACTTTGACTTACTTTTTGAATGTGTAAATAGATCTACAAAAGTTGCATCTTCACATTTGTATTCTTTTAGGCATAGTATTATTATGATTCGAACATCATGATTTTCTAGGGTTTAGTTTGCAGATGGTTTAATACTTGATTAAAAAGAATGTTTTATGAAACTATATCAAGATTAATTTTAAAATTCTAATTTTTTAGACCATGGGCCAGTATATATTTTTTTTGGATAAGTAAAATTGCAAAAAAACGAATGGACCAGTATATTTAGTTGAAGAATACAGATCACTTCATCTAGGATGCAAACAAACCTCATCCAAAACACAGATTTAGCTTTCAGGTCGTATCATTGCCCAGTTATTATTCTAAGACCAAGAATTTTTTTCTCATATCCAGTCCACTTCTTGTGCTAAGATATGAGAAAGAAACACTTGGCTAAATTAGTAACATGGCCAAAGATAATATCCATCAGATTGTACGGTTATATTTTGACATATACTTAGAGAAGCAATTATTATATTTTTTTTATATACAAAATCATATTTGATCAAGCAACCAATTGCACTGATGATAACAGTAATATAATTAATTAATGAACTAATTTACATTAACTTATGTGTTTGTTTATCATTGGAATCAAACAGTAATGCTAACTAGCGGCATACTTTTTCCTTTTTCTTTCTAAGAGATAAAGAGCTATTAGACAGAACTATTAAACAAATTGATTCATTAACTAACTTGAATAATCTATCAACCCTAGATTCCAAATATTGTAAAAATATATAAATAAATACAGTGATTTTTTGTGATTTAGAGTGGTGAATAATGAAGTTGATATGGAAGAGGGTTCATCAACTTTGCGGTGGACTGAAATTCTGATCCTTAGTTATTGTAAGATACTTAATATTTACATAAGTTCAGAAAATGAAGGCAAATTCTGGACCAACCAGAGTATATAAACCAAATGTATGATCAGTAAACAGGAGATCTCACTGACTCTAGATATTTTCAATATCTAACAACACCAAATGGTCTAAGTTTTGGAAAGGGCAACAATATAAGTGCAACTACCAAAATAGGTCAATAATACAAGAATCTCTAAATTAATATATAATCCTTTTGAATCATAGGAACAATAATATTTCATATCTTTAATTATTGATTTAATAAAAGAATCCAACATACCTTTCATTTTAGAAGTAGTAACTAGTTTTCCACTGAAAAGAAATTATCAATACCTACTTGCATTTATCTGATGCCACCTTCTAGCTTCCACACTTTTTTCCACTACAAAGAAAGAATAAAGCAACTTATGAGCATCTTAAAAAAAAAAAAAAATCCTATAATTTTATTTTCTTTAGGGATTATGCAAGGAAAAAGTAACTGTAATCCAACTTTAAACACACAGAGAAACAACTTTTGGAACCAAAATTCAGCCCAATGAGGGGCCAAAAATTTCATTTTCATGCATAATAATACTCCGCCATCAAGGTAAGACTAACTTTCAACATTTACATTATATTGACACTTCTACAAAAACCAATATGTTTTTCTATTCCCAAGGCAGTCAAACTGCACTTCCAATAAAGAAAATGGAAAAACAGAAACGCAGCTTACTATGCACTACCTTCTGGGCATAATTAATAACAGCACTTACTAGACAATATTGTACATATTCCCAGTTTGGTTTATGCTCCGTAGTGGTTTAATCATCTTAGTCAATTGTATTCATTCACTGAAAAGGATTAATTTTGCAGGATGAAGGTGCAGTCCAACATAAGAAGGAAAAGCCGGATTGGCTTCAGCCATTTCTGCAACGGACCTTCTTCAGCTCTTGTTTGATTCATGAAGTTAGCAAAAATGAGTTAAACAAGTATTGCATCACCTGTGAGTTACCTGCCTGCCGACACTGTATCTCTTCAGGTACTCATGGACAACACAAGATACTTAAAATTTATCGACATGTCTACAAGGATGTTGTCCCCATTAGCGACATGGAGAAACATATTGATTGTTCTAAAATTCAGGTAGTACTTCTTTAACTGAAAAGTAATATATTAAAATTTTAAAGTAACTTTGACCTTGTTTAGTATTTTTTAAATATCCTATAATTGATAAGATCTGCTTTTGTTCACATTACAAGCAATAGTTGTCATGCACTTCTGTTAAATGGAACATCCCTTGGACTAGGATGTGTGGATGCCAACATTTATAAGTTTCTAACTATTGCATCAATCTAACATTTTCAATCTTATGTTTATATGTTTGAGACATCACTTCTTAAAAAATTATTTACAATAAACATAAAAACTCCAAATACTTTTTGACAGATTTGCAAAATTGTTCAAAAGAGATCTAAATAGCACGTTCCACATCTGACTTCTGAGAAGACCCGAAATCAGCATCGATGGCTCTTTTTATTTTGTTTTTAGTTCTTGTTGAAAATTGAACTTTAAAAGTTTGTGTCATTAATCTGTTGGCAATTTGTGCTCAACCATTGTCTAGTACAACAGTCCTCCCAAAACAGAACATCACCCTTAAGATGGGATTTTGGCACTCGGGCTTGCTTAATCGGCATACAGATGAAAGATTTTGTATTCATCTTCCACACACCCTAAGCAAAGACTTGATGTCTACACTTATCATAAACCATGAAATATTAACATCCTCTCACAGCAGGCTCTAGTGAGAGGATGTTAATATTTGGTTGGCATCAAATTTGACCCTGGCACGCTCACAAATTGACTAAATCGTCCTAGATCAATTTTGGACCAAACCTTAAGCTCCAACTCCATATCCCACCTCAATTCTGTCTTTGATCCTTGAAAGAAGTTCACCTTTATTCAGATTTCCTATTGGAAGTTATGAAAAAAAATATATATTAGACATTTTTGACTTGTCGGATAGTATATCTGCTAGAAATTTTGTACATATAATTTATTTATTTTTTTGTGTATTGCAATAATGAACATATATACTAATTTTGACCTAGTTAAATCCTCAACCTTCGACTTGAAAAGCTAGCAGAGATACGCCAGGTCGTACCCCTTGTGCTTGTTTGAAATTTTACTAACTACTTTTTCTTTTCTTTTTTTTCTTTTTTTTTTTTATAAGTAAAAATTTTATTAAAAAAAAGAGGCTCAAAAAGGGTAGAGGATCCCAAAGAAACACAAAGGCCAAAAAACGCCTCAAGCCTTCAATGAGGCCAAAAAAGAAACAATCTCCTCAAAAGATCTATAATCTCTCCCTGAAACCCAACAAAAAAGAGTGAAAATAATAGAGAACTTAAGCATAGAGACAGGTTTCTCCTTTCCATCGAAATATCTCCGATTTCTCTCCAACCAAATGCACCACCAAATACAAAGAGGAGTAGCCCTCCAGGCATCCTGAATGAGATCCCCCACTGAGAAGCCTCTCCAAGCCTCAATCAACCCTCTAGTGGAACAAGGAATAACCCAGGGAATCCCAAACAAACCAAGCATCAAAATACCCCCTCAAAGTGGCCTTCTTTGCTTGGACTTCTGTTTTGGGAAGGATTTTAACCCAGGATAATTTGAGAAGGAGGAATCAGGTGGTGGTTAACCGTTGTTTCTTGTGCTTTATTAACTACTTAACAGTAAAAACCCATGTGTGTCCAAATTTGTAGTCTCTTTTAGAGAGCATGTAGTAGGATATTTATCCAATTTTGATGCAATTTTAGTATTACCATTCTAGTGGGTAATGTGGGTTTTCAAGAGTAATCTATATTGATGTAATTTCATCATAGTTTGGATTTTCATGTTGATTGTATTTGCCCATAGATTTAAATGCAACTTTCGTTGAACCGTGTAAATTCTTGTGATCGAATCTTGGTAATGGAATTTCTGTGAGACTCAAAACACAAGAACTATCAAGACAATGATTATTGGTGTAGTACAACAGTTCTCTTTTTCTTCATGACTACATCTGCTATTCTTTGTTATTGCAGACCTACAAATGCAACAAGCAGTTGGTCATATCTCTGAATCCTCTGCCACACAGCGGTTCACAAATAGATGTGAATGCAGCATGTGTGGTGTGCAACAGGAAATTACTGGACCCAAATGCCAACCGCTACTGCTCAATTGCATGCAAGGTAAGAAGGCGAGACATGACTAGTTCATTATCATTGTTTCCTTTGTTCAAACATCTATTGACATTGTTTGAAATTGAATTCAAAATTTTCAGGTTGAAGTTTTTTCAAGGAAGGCAAATGAATCTGAACCTCCCTTTCTTGCTGTCCAAAGTTCGCCTTCAGATGAAGAAGGCAGACAGGCTACAATAGTGAAGAGAAAGCGCGAGAGGAAAGGAGTGCCTCATAGGTCTCCTCTTACCTGAAGGCTTAAGTGTGACTACTTCTCACTCATTCTTTCTGGAGATGGAAGCATCATCTTCGTGTAGATCATTATAAACTAAAATGGAACAAAAATATGAGTCTGCTTGTGTGTATTTCTATGTATGACTCTGCTTACAGTGTGTTTTTTTTTCTCTTTTTGACATTACATTTGGGATTGCCCATCTTTATAATATTTACAAAGTGTAGGTAATATCCAGCTTATAGATCTTTTTTTGTGGTTTAGTTTCAGGAGGGAGTTGTACATTGTAGAACTTCAGTACAAGCAGACTGACTCAGGTCTAACCTTATCGCAAATTCCTGAACCACCCAGTAAAGGAAATAGACTTTGATTAATCGGCATAACAAGATGAAATATTTTTACACCCAAAAATCTCAAGAGAAGTTTCAATAGCACAGATATAGAGAAAAATCCAATTGGAGCAAATCATAAAACTGTTAGCATGTAATGTCAATTCTACCAATAAAAGCATTCCCAACAATTATATCACTTGATGGAACAATTATATTTTCTGGCAATGACATAATAATCCTTCAATAAATAGAATCAAAGAAAAATGTGTTCTGGGGAAACATTTATTGCCAAAAATCTTTCCAGAAAGACCTGGTGTTAAATGGAAGGAGAGTCTGAAGACGACATCACATGATTTTGAGAGAAATTTGCACCAACCACAATTCCAACGAAGAAGACTTGAGAAAGAAGTAGCAATTCGTGTCTCATGGAACAGATTTCAAGCACCGGTGATCGAGAAACCCTAATTGTTCTTCTAGGAGTGGGAGACGAGACCTTGACAGAAAATGGTATTCTAATACAATTGTATATTCGTATGATCAAGTATTGTGATGTTGTTAAAAAAAGTAAAAAATAAAATATATATACACATATTTATTAAAATATAATAATATATATTATACACATATATAATGATAGAATATAAGAGTAATAATTTTTTTTTTTTGGAAAGGGATAAACATTTTTAAAATTTTAAATCAACTTTGACATAATAACATGGGACAGGTGAGACATCAAACATGTCGTGTAATTAATAATAATATAAAGTGATTATATTTTTAATAGAAAATTATAAGGGTATTAAAAAAGATTATATGAATAATCTAAATTTAAATTTAAACAATTTTAATACAATAAGCACCAGTACAGTGACATGCAATGGTATTGTCATACAGTGTGTCCAAAAATAAAGCCTTAGCCCAACCAACAATATGTTCGACAAAAAATGGCACAGTCAAATATGTGTCCAATAAGAATAAGGCTAATAAAAAATATACTACAAAGTAAGTCCGACTTTTGTTCGAGAAATTTTTTTTATTTTTATTTTTAAAGTAAAAACGATGGGCAACATTAAAATTTTTTTTTTTTTTGATAAGTAGAAATAATATTTATTGTTTAAAGGAGAGTATTTATTGTTTTTCAAATTAATATTTTTAATGGGCAACATTAAAAATATTAATTTGAAAAAAAATAAATACTCCTTTAAATCAATTTCATCATAGGATGAGATACGTAAACAATATGTACTGGCATATTGAACACGTCCCCTCTAAGGCTAAAGTAATTATATATATATATATATATATATATATAGATAAGTAATTATATATATATATATAGCTAGCATGTATTTCTCATATATGATTTTTGTAAGTCATAAAGAAAGAGATTACGAGAAAGATTAAAATTTAATTCTAAATTAGTTTTTATATGACATGTGCCACGTAAGGACATGCAACGACATTATACAATAAGCATAAAATGCATTGGCATACCAAACATGTTCCTATAATACTAAAGTAATTAAGAATAATGGAAAATGATGAGAAGGAACTTAATGTAAATTTAAAAAACTTTTATACAAGTGCCATGTGAATTACATGAAATGGCATTGTAAAATAT